CTGTCCATTGTGCCATATGAAATATGTTTGACAAGAATGTGTGTGCAAGACCAATAAAGAGTGGTAAAAGGAATTAAATAAATAAATATTCAAGACTCATTAGTAAGTGTTCATGACTAATGATGATGGGATCACAAATGAGTCACAAGAGACTAATTCAAATCAGAATGAGTCATAATGAGTCAGAATGAGTCAGGAGGAGTCAAAAGAAGTGCGCTCTTCTTGAGGGAACCAGATTATATATAAGGAAACACTAGGAAGCTATATAAGGAGGAGCGCATCTGTGGAATGAAAGTAGTTTACCTCCCACGCTCTGTACTAGGTAGACCAATATTGACTTCTTAGCTGCTTTTGTCCGAGTTCTCAAGCTCTTGAGCCTCTTTCGAAGTCTTTCATTTGATTTGATCCAACCACCTGACCTGACTGCAGAACAAGCTGCAGTTGCTGTTACAGAGACACTTACGACCGCTTCTGCTTATGTAAGCCACCTGTTAGTTAATTGATTTTCACGCACCTTTTCCTTTAATAAAGAGATTTGTTGAGGCATTAAGGGCACTTGAGGATTTCAAGAAATAAATACATTTTTTGAGTCTTTAAGAGGAACTTAAATTCCATCGCACACCGTAGCTGAACAGCTTTGGCAGCGACCTCCAAGCGACCAAGTGCATTGGCAGCTCGCATGACCTCAATTCCGTTCTTCAGACCCATAAACCATCCTGGAAATGTTTCCGAGAGAATGGGATGGTTGTACGGTGCAAGATGATTGGGATCTGGGGGGAGATCAAGGGAGTTGGGCAGCTGCACATGTGTAATGATAGAGTCGAGCTGAGCGGTGTGTGCTTCAGTGCCAGCAGCTGTCTTTTCGCCAGCTCGTCACTGATACTCAATTTCAGAGTCTCCTTGTGATGATCTCATGACAGTGCGGAGGAAAGTCGCCGTGAGCTCTGCTCTCCTTGCTTGACTCTTAGCGACCTACAGAGCCACAGTGATGCCAGCAGCACGAAGGAAGTCCTCTGCATGAGCTTTGACATCGAGCAGCCATGCTTTCAATGCTTTGCTGTTACTCCAATCTGGTGTGTCGCCAAGATCAAGTTGTGCAGAAAGGCAATAGGTCAGTGTTTGCACCACTAAGCCAACCCAGAAATTGACTTCCCAGCGCAGACAAGCTAGGTGGTGGTCGTATTTGAGATGACCAGTGTCACCAACAGGAATGTGGAGCCCAAGCTGGGACAGATCTCAACCTGTTGGTACAAGACCAATCTCGCTGATGTTATCAGTGAAGCGAGCTCCTCGAGATTGGCGATAGCATACATCAGCAGGGAACTTATTGAGAAGTATTGGTGAGCTAACACCTTCAACAAAGAATTGGTGCTTGGCATCGGGGGAAAGGCCATTGGCACAACTGATGATATTGCCCAAGCAGATAGTGGCACATACCGGGTTGGACTGGGTGACAAGTAGCAGTGGTCGTACGGCCTCAGGCAGCCGGGCCAGGAGTAAGATATGGATGAGGTAGAGGAGATGTGTGAGGCTGCACCTCCAAAAGTCAAGTGAGGGCCCTATGTACCAAGCGATGATGTCAATAGAAAGATTGCCTGCCTCTGGAATGTTGTCCTCAAGCAGGCAGCGAAGATGTCGGTCTTCCTTAGGTCCAGTTCCAACCGTAGCATACCAGTATCCATCACACGTTCCGAGCATTCCCTTGAGAGGAATGTCCTTGGTGATGTTCAGACGGACGACTCAGCTGTGCTTCAGTCTCAGCACACTCTCAACCTTGGGTTTGAGAGCTTGTATTGCAGCAGGCGCCATTTGCGTGGTGTGGCAAGGCACAAGCAGCCAGACCTTATCGTCAATGAGGCTCTTGATCTGCTTCTTGAGGCCTTTGTTGTGTTCTTGCCTGAAGGAGAAGTCGAGTGGCGGGAGATTCTCAGTGAGACGGATGTGTGCATGGATCATATCAATTGTAGGCTGAAAGATAGGGACATTGCCGCCAGGAGAAGAGTTCAAAGTAGAGGTACCGAGCAGGGCAATAAGGATTTGCTCCTTATGGCTAATAACAGGGTCTGTCCTAAGATCCAAGGGGGAAGTGATGGGGGTGTCAAGTGAGGGGATGTGGTAGACATCGTAGGGGAGGGTGAGGTTGGCCAAAATGAAGTTGACGAAACAACATGCAACACCTTCCGCCAAATCATCTTTAGCACATTGTATACACGCTACAGCACAGGTAATACTGCTGTACAGCCAACGGGTTGAAGCACTAGCACAATGAGTTCCGAAAAGACCCGCGAGGGCGCTGCGAGCAACCACATCCTTGATGAAGGTGTCGACAGCACCTTCGAGACCATGAGGGATCAGCGCCTCTCAAAATTGCTGCTGCAGTTCATTGGGGTCCTGACCCTGCAGCAGCAGTTGGAGGACCGTGTTGGGGGTGTCTACAGGGTATCAGTAGAGGTAAGCAAGACCTGCTTCCTTTGCTGTTTCCCCCAGCGTCACAACTACATGAAGATAGTTTTGGCAAACATTGATGGGCAGAGGATTGGTGGAGGTTGACAAAACTAAAGTCCCATTAGCAAGGAACAGTTCAGGGTTGAACATTGTGGGTGCTTTGCCAAGCTGCGCAAGAAAGTCGATGGTGGGTGGGGGGATCATATTCCAGACCTCAGACGAAGGAGGAATGGGACTATGATTGTTTACATGGCAGAAGACATCAACTATGGTTTGAACAAATTGTAGATCACCAGAGTCATTGCAGATGCTCTGCCGCACCATTTCGAGGTTCGCAATCCGTTCAAATTCTCAAGTCCAGTAGTCAGCTATTGCTGATGCATGCCTGAGCCCGCTCTTGATGTGTTGCTCATTTGCCTTGTCTGGGTCATTGTACACTTCTTCATGACAAGTGGCGCAACACTGGGTGTTGTGAGTGTCGCGCTCACTGGGGGTGAGGAGCTGTAAAGCAGATATATTCAGTTGATACTAAAGGACTCAACAGAAAACACATACAGTGTAAGGGCAACCTTAAGCTCAGTGCAGGGCGCAGAAACTAGCAGGGGAATCCGAAGTATAAATATGGGTACTATAATACAGGAGCGGGAATACTACACACCTAGTGGGGTAATCCGAAGAGAAGAAAGGATGAGGATTCCCATGCTAGGTGAAACCTTATATACTAAATGGTAACTACCCAGTAGCACGTGTCCGGAGGTATCTACAGTGATCCCAGGCCTGGTCGTATAGCACATGCCAGTGAGAACAGGCAGATGGGGAGTTATCTGGAGGATTAGTTGGAGAGATATCCGGAGTGGAAGCCGGAGAAGCCAGAAAAGCCAGAGAAGCTGGAGATGTGGAAGCTGGGGGAATGTCCAAAGCAGGGGTTCCCCTGACATACGATGTCTGAATAGGTGGTCTTTGTCGTAGAACTGGGGATCTCTGTGACCTCTTCAATCTTGACACATTAAATGAGCAATGTAGAAAATGAGAAAGAGACATCAACCAACTGTTGCTAGAAGCACCTTGCCCTTGCCCTTATTCTTGGTGGGCAAACCAGTATTTTCCTTCAGGTTCGCCGACACCTGAAACCATATTAATTAATGTATGATCAAAAGCAGGGAGGATTACAAACCACACTGCTCAATGAGGCAACAGTGTTTGTAGCTCTGGACAAAGGGTGTGGCAGGCATTGATGAGCATGGTGTGATGGTTCATGAAAAAAGGCATGGTATTGGCAGGGTATTGCAAAGGAAAGATGGTGACGGGAGAGGAAGAGAGAAGGAGGATACTTGTTTAGCATACAGCTCACCATGGCTTCAAGTTTAAGGTCCACCCAGTGAGCCGCCAGTAGGGTGGCTGTGGTCTTCCTGAAATGAAAGGTGGCTAATGGTGGTTCAGACAGAGTGGCTAATACCTTCAACAAAGAATTGGTGCTTGGCATTGAGGGAAAGGCCATTGGCATAACCGATGATATTGCCCAAGCGGATAGTGGTGCATACTGGGTTGGACTGGGTGACAAGTAGCAGTGGTCATACAGCCTCAAGCAGCCAGGCCAGGAGTAAGACATGGATGAGGTAGAGGAAATGTGTGAGGCTAGACCTCCAAAAGTCAATTGAGGGCCCTATATACTGAGTGATGACTTCATTTCAGGTGCATTCCCATGTCTACTGGTGTAAGGTCACCACCTGCTTGAGGACAATATTCCAGAAGCAGGCAATCTTTCTATTGACACAGTGAGGTAATTAGAGTGTGCATGCAAGACTCTTTGGAAGAGTTGCAGAACTTGGCTTACATACATGATCCAAATATTTTTGAATTGTGGTTTAGATAGAGGCTGCTTTGGTGCCAGGACTAGATAACTGCTGCAAGTGTAGTTGAGAACTTGAGGTGAAGAAATTCGATGGGATCAGTCCTGGTGACAAAGCTGGGCAACACTCTCCAACAAACATGGTAATTTTATTGTCTCTTTCACCAACTCCCACTCGACCCTGTCCATCCAAAGGTACCAGAGACCCACAATCATGGTCACTAGCAGGAGAATATTAGAGATCCAGACAAGCACCAAATTAACTTGCCACTCTGCACTGGATTTATTGGGGCCACACAATGATGATGACCTCAATACAATTGTTGTGAAAGCCAAGTAGTAGAACCACTGCCTTGTGTTGCAGCATTTTACCAGATGTCTCCCTTCTGCCATCCCCCACCTTCCTCTTTGCTTGCTTGTCACTGCCGGCTTAGCTCAGTGGTAGAAGCACTGGTTTGTGTTTGCAGCACTTTCACTCACCTTTCCCTTTCTCAATTTGATATGCCTCTCTCAATTGACTTCACCCACAATCTTTGCTGACCATGCCCCACCTCGCTCATCGCTCATCATCGCCGGCTTAGCTCAGTGGTAGAAGCTGCCTTGCGTTCACAGCACTTTCACTGATCTTTAGCTGATGTGCCTCTCTCAATCAACTTCACCCAGAATCTTCGCTCACCATCTCCCGCCTCCCTCCTCACACATCATGGCCGGCTTAGCTCAGTGGTAGAGCGCTGCACTTGTAACTCATCCCTGAGTTTGAAATGCAGCGGTCAGTCGTTCAATCCGGCTAGTCGGCATTTCTTTTTCTGTTATTTTAGCTTCATCAACACAACACACCAACATCAAACTGATGATATGAGCCATGGACAAGTCTTCAAGCTTCAAGTCGTCTCTCCTTTGAGATTCCCCGGACCTTGTAACCTCCTGGCAATCTAGTAAATCAGTGCTTGGAACGGCTTGAATCCGAGCTGTTAAGCACAAGTATACAATATCTGTGCCTTCGTCACGGAGCCTGCTGCATCGCCAACACAGAGCTAATAGAATTTCTTCCGTCGCGCCCTCGGTCGGTCGCTTCGCTCCCTACCCTCGGGCGCGACCTCTTCCAAAAGCTTAAGCGGACAATTGAGCGGACACATCACCGAGAACACAGGGATCACGTCAACACAAATTGTGAGGAATGACGGGTTGTCGAGGGATACCTTGTTTTTTACCTGCACGGAGTAGTGAGCAAAGCGGGGTTGGACATCCATTTTGGTTGTGTGCAACGCTCGAAAAGGCAATTTGTGGCTGTGTCTACTCTTTCTTTTCAACCATGGTCATCTAACTTCCGCAGGAACTCATAGACCTGGTGATTGATCAGGTTGCCGTTGATTCTCTCAGCACCTGTTCTCTGGTGTGCGGCTCCTGGGTCTCGCGGAGCAGATCCCACCTTTTCAAAAATGTAAAACACTCATGTTCCATAACATCCCCGCTTTTCGACATTTTCTACAGTCCCCGTACTGTACTTTTGCACCTCATGTCCGCACGGTATCGTTCAGTGGCTACCACCAGGAAACCAACAAGATGCTACTGGCCGAGGCCTTGCGCCGCCTCACTCAGGTCCGCGCGCTCGAGATATTCATGAACCTAGAAAGGGCCTACTTGTTCCTCGCAATAGCCTTCCCAAACGTCACAAAGCTTCACCTTTGCTCCTACGGCAGTCACTCTTTGCCACTCCTCGATCTGGTAAGTATCCAACTTCTCGGGTTTGCAAGAGTTGCACATGCTGAGTTACGGGACGTGTCCCCCTTCGACTACATTACCGCCACGGGAGCTGCGCTCCGTGAAGCTCATGGGGAACGTGACCACCCCAATTCTGGCATGGTTGCATGCGACAGAGCGTCTGCTTAGCGTGGACTCGGTGCAGTTACAGCACCTGCGGGGTGATACCATTCCCCTCGTGCGCGCAGCGCTGCATCAAAGCGGCAGCGCCCTCCGACATCTCGACATCGGTCTTGACTTGCCGTTCGTAGACCCTGATGATACGTATCCAGTCCAGTCCACTTTGTTCCACCCGCGCAGTTCCCACCTTGCCTGGCTAGACTTGTCTCCGCACCCCGAACTTCGGACGTTAGCCATCTGCGATTTCTCACAGGGTCTCTCGGGCGATTTCAGCCCTGGGCAGGTGCTTCCCCTCGTGAAGGCGCTCGCTGCGCCGAAACTTGAGCAGCCTGAGCTGGACCTCAATCCGACATTGTATTCGCCTACCGATTGGGCAGCGCTGGACGCGTTGTTATCTTCGGTACATTTTCCGTGCCTCCGCAGTGTCGTAATCCCTGCTGAATGTGGTCACAAGTTTTTGTGTCGGCTGCTGCCTTGGCATGGTGGACTTTTTGTTCTTACGGTACTCTGGCACACTGCACAGGATAAGGATGTGTGTGATGGTCACGCGCGCCACCTCGACCTCGAAGGTCTGACAAGCACTATGTGCCGTATATTCGAAGCTGGTCTGTATGAAAGGGCGTAGAGTAATAGGGCAATCACGGGCAATGATGACGACCAAAGTTGGGCTCTCTCCCTGCTTCCAGCCTCTCCGAGGGCCGAGTTTTTTTTGACAGTGGGACTGCTTCCGCCAATAGTCATCAACGATATCGCCGCTTCTGAGATCTCAGCAAGAACATAAAGACAAACTTATGACTCAACACTAGTCAGCGATAACCAGCATGACGCCTCTAGACGGTCATCTTAAACGAGAAATACTTGAAGCCGATTGCCTGACGGTATGGCCGAGCTACTTATAGAGGCACGGAAGGTGAATTATATAGTAGGCCCTATATCCATATCCAGTTAGAGTTGCTTGGCAAAATTGGCGCCGGTACGAACGCCCGGTATTTCTGCACTGCGGCAGCTGAATAAGATCTTTGTATGCAGCATATGCAGCATAGGCTTCACATAAAAGAGTGTTTCGATCCGAGAATAAGATTCCCTCGCAGTTTTCTCCGATTGATTGATTGCTTCGGGCTCTGAGGTGGCGCCGTTTGAATGCTTAGTGTCCAAATGCGTTGAGAAGGCCCTTGGGCACGCACGGCGTCCCCAGCCGCAGATAGACGGAACCAAAGTTTATGATTAAGAGCATAGGAGAAAACATTATGAATATGTTTACAAAGGCTAGAACGATTTGATGACGAAAACAGCCAAGCCGCCTAAATGGCATCGTTCTCGACAAGCTTGCCGCAGATAATGTACTTGTTGGAAAAGTGGTCAATCCAGCCTGCGCAGACGGAGTTGAGCGGAGCTTGCGTGATGTGGACGTACGAAACAGACCTTTCATGTTATCTCTGTGGAACGCACAGAATATTAGCGCAACAAATGTGGTACAAGATGGGCACTGACATTTCATCCTGCTGGAGATCGGTGAGCTTGTCGAGAGGTTGGTCGACTGGGGTCAGCATTTCTGGATCGGTGTAAGTGCCCCGCGCAGGGTTGTTAAAAAACAACATACCAGTGTCAAAGGACTGCTTTGCCATCCCGCGGGATGCATCTCTGCCCGCAAAGTTTCCGTACATTCCATCTAGAGCCCGTGAACAAGCGTTCAAGACACGATGTGCACAAGACGAACCAGGACCGTAGAAATTCCGTCCGGCAGTGACATCAAACACAACACCGTTAATCGCAAGCAGGATGCGGCCGCCATCTTTTCCCGAGAACGGCTCGAGGGTCTTGGGGGTGAACGTCTTGAACAAGACGGTCGGCGGGTGGGATTTAGGCATCCATGAGTAACCAGCTTTGAACTCGCGGGGGATGGTGGCTGGTTTGGAGGTACTGGGGAACACGATGCGCTGCACAGAGTACAGAATGAAAACGAACAGGGCCGTATTTACGGGCGTCCCGAGCTGCAATGTGAAGGCCATGACCAAGTGAATATGTGACCCCGTGACTCGCTTCACTGCCTCCTCCCGCCTTCCACCAGTTTCTCCGTTCATTGAGGACAGTACTCTCGTTCTTGTGCGGTCATGATAGTACTCAGTATGCCTTCCGCTCACCTCCCACGTAAATCTCATTCCCCTCAAGATTCCCAAGACGGCACCGCAAGCCCGAATATTAATGGTGGACCTGCCGAACCCCTACCAGAGTACACCCGTATAATTTCCCTCGCCCCAATGTAATTTTCTGCTGACGGCTTTTCTAGCTATGTGACCTCAAACCGGTCCATGCCTCCGCGCTATTCGCGCGTGCGCAGACCCAAGAATCCCCTCACATATACATTCATTCCTCCACCCGAGGGTGGCGACCCGAACTCGATGCTGATGGTCCCGCCAGAAAATGCGGGAGACAAGGCTCAGTACCGGGTCGCGGTCACTCTGAATTTGAATCCCTTCATCCCGATTTCGTACCGTACCTGCGTACATCGGTTGGAAGGCGACCACGAGTCATTTATTGGGGACTTTGAGTACGTGGTCGTCCAATTAATGTATCGTCGTATATCTCACGACTGCGCAGACTTTCGTTGGATCACCGTCGGGCTATTATAACAATCGGCGATATAACGACGCGGCTCTCCAATGTGTTATTCACCATCAATTCTTCTCCGCGACACTGGACTTGGAGATGGGATGAGATCGGCCTGCGGTGGGATTGCCGCACTACACTCGAAGATGGGTCGCCCATGTGTATTGTGAGCAGGAGCGATTTTATTCTGCGTGTGCATGCAATACTCAATCGCGATGTATCGCAGTGCTACACGCTTCAGTCACCCATCCAGCTGGCGTCGTTCGTCCCCCCACCTCTCGACGCACCTCCGCCGTTTCCAGAAGCCGTGCTTACGATCTTCCCCGACGGACACGAGTGCTTTGACCATATCCTGCTCTCCGCATTGATCATGCAGCGCAAGATCGGACTCGAGTTTTAGGTAAACTCTTCCATATTGTTTTTGCATTTGTAATAAATCCTTGTACTATATTGCCCGAATCGAACCATCTTCTCGCAACCGCAAAGTACATGACTACATACCAATTGTCGGCCAGACGTTTTTGTCAAAGAATTGATGCTCGAGCCTCAAGCGATCAGAGTGCAAATCGAGATAAGATAACGCGCGGATCAATTTGCCATCACGGAATCTAATTGTCTATCAATATGGCTTGAAACTTAACAGGATCTGGCGCCTTTGTCCTGGCCTTGGGCTCATTGTCGGACGAGCTCACCGTATAGTGCCGAGAATCCTCGCAAGGAACGACGGGCCGGTAGACAGGTCTTGGTTCATTCATCCTTCTGGACGTCAGACGAGCCCCCATGCAATCTCATGCAATGCAGCACAACACAATTGGAACAACGAATTTCAGGCAGGTGAGCAACGGGAATAATCGTGCGAATGGACGGTGTGCGAAATAGCGCAGGTACAAGGAACATCGTGACCGCCGCGGACGCAGCCCGACAATTAAAACTTCTTTGCATCGAACAATAAAAGTATAAGTCGCGATCGTAATGGAGAGCTAATGAAATACTCACTTTGGGCAGTGGTGCATCTAGGGCGACTGCGTACTCTTGCTGTTTATTTTTCTGAGAACCAGCTCAGGCGGTCCAGCTAGAGCCTAGCCTGACATTGCGACTTTGACCAAAGATGCGGCCCACAACTGAAGCAGGACTGCCCTTTCCACATGCTGCCGAAATAGAATCATTCCCTAATGTGGCGTACCTCGGGACAATTGAGCGATGTAGCCGAGCGAACCCCAACAAGAATTTTTACAATTAGAGTGTTGTCGGCCTCCTGATCCCATCAACGTTCTCTTCCGGAACGGTGTTTAACGTTGACCTTACTACG